GTGGTTTAAAAAAGATTTCTCAGCATAATGCCCACAATGTGATCAAAACCTACTTTATCCTATTAATGGTCATTTCTCAGGGCTTAAACATTAAGGTCTACACAGTGCTTCTTGACCTTGGAACTGTAAGATATGTGGACTTCAATTCCCAGAATTCCCCAGCCAGCATGGCTGGCTGGGGAATTCTGGGAGTTGAAGTCCACACATCTTACAGTTCCCAAGGTCGAGAAACCCTGGTCTACACATACAGCCCTATTACCAGACTGTAGTCAGCCCATTTGCATGGATACATGGCTTTCAACAGGGATGTGCAATTCAGGAACTGATTCCCAATTGCAAAAAACTTGCCACGTAACAGATAAAGAAAATTGCTTCAGACTGCAGTAGGGTAGCTAAATAAAGAGAGGAAAGGAGTTTAAAAGATGCAGCAAGATCTTTGAAAAGATTTGTCCCAGGCCTGGGAAGGATGTCTTAGGTAGGCACCTTCTGAAATGGGATTTCAATTTCAGTCAACACTGGGCTGCATCGTGATTGTTCTGGTAGTGCTGTAGTTCTGTGTTGCTAAAAATTAAAAAGCAAATGTGCCTTCCCCCTGAAAAATGTAAAACAGTACATGAATTTACATATGCTAAAGATGAATGTAAATGTAGAAATCAAGATCTAAGACAGTTCTTAAAGCTCTTAGGTGGAACTATGGGCTACTGTCCTCACCTTCTTAGATTCTATCTATTATGCTAAACCTAACTCTTCAGGGTGATCGTCCTCCTTTCAAAATCATCTGAACACTGGTTTAAGAAGTGTCTTGTTTAAAGACAGTTCTTTAAAGAGGAACTGTCATTCACCATTTACACGTAATGTAACGGGTCTCATCAGAAGGGGAAAACAACAGAACCTGAAGCACTGGATTTTCCTCCAGATTCTGCAAGATTACTAATTATAGGGGCATGAACAACCTTTGCTTTGTGTGGTATAATGGTTAGAGCAATAGATGGACTGGACGGGGGGGAACCCAAGTTCACTTCCCCCTTGATATGGAGCTCAATTGAAGATTTTGGCCACTTTCTCTCAGACCGACCTTATAGGAATGTTTTGAGCATAAAATCCATGTTTTCTACCTTATGTTTTTTGGGGAAAAAACATGCCTACTTGTATAATAGCTATGAAATGAAGTGGACTGAGAATGGTGGTGAACATAAATGTTAAATGTGCATGTACATGAATCTGATTCTAAAGCCTCCAGGCATTATAACATTATGGGGGGGAGTTTTACAGAACACCCCTCCCCAAGTGAGTTCTCCTTCAGAGCTTGAGATTTGATCAGATAACGGGACAGACATAAAGGTTTGGACTATAGAAAAATGAAATATGAGTTCCTCATCCAATACAATCTATAATACAATACAACATACAAAATGTATATCTGCCCTTTCTATAAAACATCCAACAGTACATGGTCATAAGAAAATAAAAGCAGTCAATCCAACTGAAGAAACAATTTAAACAAAAGTAAAGAGCAACAGCAGCATAAGAAACACTTTAAAAAGGGTATCCTATGAGATTTCATGGGAACAGCTTCCCTTGACAGGCTGTTCTAGATCAGTGTTTTTCAAACTTGGCAACTTTAAGAGGTGGGGACTTCAACTCCCAGGATTCTTCAGCCAAGTTGCCAAGTTTGAAAAAGATTGTTCTAGATCAACTCTGACTAGGACATCTCATTGATTTTTCAGTTTGGTGCTCTGTTGTTTTTCTCCTAAAGCTTTTACTTAACTCTAGTACTGAGATGATTTCTTTGCTCTGTTAAAGATGTGTGTCTGTGTCAATTCTCATAAAAAAAAAAAAAACCTTGTTTTTACTATAGTGCTTGCTTATTTTTGCTTTATAACAGCATCTACAGTATTTCCAGGAGGAAATGAAACAGCAAAAACTACGCAGAGTCTTATGGCTCCGTAAAAACTAACACATTTATTTCAGCATACTGTACTGTAGTCTCAAAAGGCTGCTTGCTTCTCTTTGATGCTGGAAAATGAAAGTCTAGCTTTAAGGGAAAAATATAGTAATAATAACAGTGGGAAAGTGTTTTTGCTGCAGTTTTGTTTGGTTTTCCCATGGAAGTGATTTCTGTAGCTTTTGCCTGGATTCAACAAGTGTGTGTGTGTGTACGTATACACAGACACACACTCACACATACATACATACTTGGTAGTTATTGGACTTCATTAAACGGGTAGCACTGTGCCTGAAAAAGAAGCTGCTGTACTCTAGATAATCCATTGAAGATCCTCTGAACCAGTGTTTTTCAAACTTGGCAACTTTAAGATGTGTGGAGTTCAACTCCCAGAATCCTCCAGCCAACATTGGAGTTGAAGTCCACACATCTTAAAAGGTGCCAAGTTTGAAAAGCACTGCTCTAAACTGAATTCAACTAGAAGGAGTCTTTCCATTTCCAGCCTGGATGAGACAACCCAAATACTGGGTTCCTCAACAATTGCTTTGTAAATATCTATTTGTGTGTGTTTGTGTGTGTGTTAATCTTCAGTTTTAACTTTAAGATTACAGCTAATCCATATTTATTTAGAAACAGGCTTCACTGAGCATCAGTAGAATTATGCAGCACTTTGTATGTTTACATAAGACTGCTTTAACTGTAAGACTATAAGAGTAACTGGACTGCATTTTGTGCTATCCTGGGGTTAAATTATGGCTTGTTGAACAACACAGCGACCTAGTTCACACATAACAACCAGTTGGTGCAGTGGTTAAAGACACTGGGCTAGAAACCCAGTTCTAGGCTTGCCTTAGGCATAAAGCCAACAGGGTGATCTTGGGCCAGTCCCTTTCTTTCAGCCCTAGGAAGAAGGCTTTTCCTAAACATTTTCCAAAAATGTTGCCAAGAAAACAGCATGGATTTGTCCATGGAGTTGTCAGGCACACACCCCCCCCCAAAAAAATCACACATAACTCCAAATCCTAGACTATGGTTTACAAACCACAACAGCTAAGTTCACTTACCTTGTTAAGCAAAATCCAAACTATGTTATGATTTCATGAAAAGTAGGACTCTAGCCATTGTGTCTAGTTAGGCTTACTTCCCAGTTAACATGCATAGCAACTTAGCCCTCAGACACAAAACCAGCAGGATGAATCCTTCCATTCAGAATGTTGGCTGCTGGCTATATGGACATGTCCGTGTAGTTTTCTTGGCAGCAAAATGAGAGTTTTGCTACTGTCTTTTTCCAGGATATTTTTTTACCTTCCCTTCATCTTTTAGCCTATAACCTTGTGATTTTCTGGTAGTCTTACTTCTAGATACTATGAGGTATTTTGCTGCTTAGCTTTTTTCAAGATTAGCCAAGGTCACTGAGTGCTGCCACTGTCTTTAGACCTCACCAAGGTTAGGTTTGGCTAATTTATCTGCTATTGTAGAGGGAAGAGGGAATGGCCTTGAGGGACAGGAGGACTATTCTGTTACTAAAGTAGTATTGGCCTATATGACTTTGGCTTCCTGGTCTGGTCTACTTTGAAGGGCTGACAGCTATGTAGATCAACCTTCTGTCAGCCAACACATTACATGCAGTGAAATAATGCCATTTGGCCTACTCTAATGCTATTTTGCAGTCTTGGGGGGAAATTTCAGGGTGCTGTGGTTACTTGCTTCCAGCATTTCCTTTCTACATTTATCTGCCTGGAATATTTGGGAGCTGGGGTGAAATTAGCAAGAGTTCTGCCAGTTTCCCTTTCTAACCCAAATGATAGGAAATATGGTAAACCAGTCTACAAGTCTTCTGTGGGGCTTGTAAACCTGTCCAAAAATAGCCCGGCTGATAGGTCAGGGGCTTGAGGATGGCTGAGTTTACTCCACGCCCCTCTCTAACCCCACCAACATTCAGCTGGACTATTGTTGGCCCAGTAGACCTGTGTTCTGACAGATTAGTGGTGCGGAACACCTCCACATTGTGATCTTTCATTTGGACAACTTGAAAGGTGCTAAAGCCGCCATCTGAGGCACCAGTGCATACTGTCCCAGCCTACCCTGCCATACTTGAAGGAAAGCAATTGGTGGTGGTTTATCCTGATAGCAGTTGACACTGGATGAGAAGGAAAACAAAGCTTCCAGGGTGGCAGAAGAAATAAGGGGGAACAAGCAGAAGAGAAGATGGATGTCTCCAGTCCCACAGAGTAATCATGCCATGGGCTGGACAGCTGACAGTAGAAGTCTTACAGGTCTTTTGCTGTCAGTAACTGGCATCAAATGAAGCATTTTCCATGCCAGTTCTCTTCCCCCCACAGCTTCTTGTGTGGACAGACATCCCAGTTCTGCTTTGCTGCCAAGGCAGAATAGATGTGGGAAGGATGGTCAGCAGTTCTTTAAGCTGACATACTTTAAGCCAGTCCCTGTGCTAAATAACTGCATTTTAATGCTGCTGTGGAGAACAGCCTATAATCTTGCTCTGAATGGACCTTTCCTATCTACCATTTATATTGCCTCAAGGAATACACTGATTTCAGGAGGTGACTTTTTTATAACGTAGTTGGGATTGTAATATTGCTTTGGGGCAGGAAAGTTGTAGTCCTCCAGATGTTGCTGGACTACAATTCTTAACAGTAGCCAGCTAGCATGGCCAACAGTGAGAAATCCTGGGGAGCTGCAAATTAGCAACACCAGGGCTATACAGGTGTGTTTGCTGTGGAGACCAACATCATCAGAATGGGAGGTGCAACCCCTGCTCCCTTTTATCTTTGTGTAGTGCATACGGCAGTTGTGCCTGGCATTTTGACATCATTGATTCCCCTGAAGCCATACGTTTCTCATACACTTATATGTGGGTACGCACGCACACATACACACACTGCTCTTGATGTAGTTAGTTACTATCTGCTTCCTTCTGTATTATGGGGGGGGGGTTGTGCGAGTTTTTAATCTTTCTTGAAGAATCTGAGGAGGAAACAGTAATTTAACACCTGCTTGTCAATCCAATAAATAATTTTTTACTCATATTTATTATTCACTGTTCATGGACTCAGAACTTAGTTGGTTTTATTGCATGTCGCAAAAAAGCTAATTTATATGGTTTATGCAAACATGGACTATTTGCAATTCTCCACTTGCATCAACATGAATATCCAGAAATATGGGTTTGCAAGGATATAGTTGGAAGCCTTTGAATATTAGCAGCTTGCTGAATAGCATAAAATGCATTTTCATAGCTAAACATAAACCAGGCTTCTCTAATTTGATGCCTTCCAGGTGCATTAAACTACAACTCTCAGAATTCCCAGCCAGCATATCTGGAGGGCCATAGTTGGCAAAGACTGACATAGCGCTGTGCCAAAATATTATTCTGAATTCAAACTGATAGAAAAGAAATTGCTTTTGTTTGTTTTTTTGTTTTTTATGGAAAAGGAATTTCAGTTAAATTCATATGAAAGGAGTGTGGTGCTGTTGCACTAGTTCCATTATGACGTACCCAAGGAGAATGGAAGTATTATATCAGGATCCGGTAATTCATTGTACAAGTATTCATCCTACAGTCTACACGCACCCCATTGCTTTTCACAGGGGGGCTTTTTTCAGATGAGTCATTGTAAGCCTGAGAGGCTAGAGTGATGGAGAGAGGTAAAACTGAAAAAGTAACAGCCTCACCCTCAATAGCTTATATCACAATGAATTTCTTCATAACTTCTGAAACATCCTGAGAATGAGGTAGAAAAACAGAAGCCGCTTTCACAAGGGGAGAACACGTTCAGGAAATTGGAAAGCAGAGTATGTTCTAGTTTTAGACATTTGCCATCCCTTTAGTAATGGGCATCAAAATCAATTCCAACTGAAACTAACAAGCCGTTGTTTGTTTGCAGATTATGTAGCACTAGATAGAAGAAAAGAGGCGCTGCTTTACTGATCTTTCAATTTATATCGAATTCTGACATCTGTTTCCGGCTGCAGCATTCCAAAGCCGTATCTCTGCTTGTCGAAGCCTGGGATCTCCTTAGCAGAATCTTTCAGTTCCAAATCAAAATAGTTTAGGAGGTGGAAAACACATCTGTAAATAGGAGAACAAAAACACCTGATCAGTATAGCCAATGATGTTGATCCTGCATTTTTTGTGCCTTAATATCCAAGAGGTACAAATACCTAGTCTGAACATAAAGAAATAAAATATTTAAACAAAAATTACAGTTGTAAAACCAGGCTGTATGGCATGCAAATTTGCACTGTGAGTCCTTATCCCACTAAAATTAACTGTGATCCTATGCAGCTTTATTCAGAAGAATGTGTGGCTTTATTCAGCTGGGCATTTCTAAGAGACATTGCAGGCCACAGGTGTGATCCTTTACAAATTTACCCAGCAGTAAGGCCCAGAGGGCCTTATTCTTACAAACTGTGGCTTACAGACACTGTTGTCGAGCTTCAGAGGCACAGTTGTATACCCCAGCTTTCCAGACCCTGAACTTTTTACTTGGCAGGTTCATGGATACAACTTGGCAAGATTAGCCTCTTTATTGCAGACAAGAATGACACTGTATATACACATAACTACACACAGAAGATTCGTCCACTACAGTACACAGAAATCAAGGCCTTATATACATTTCCGTGCTCCAGGGTTTAAATTCTAGACTTTTTCTTAGTCAATGAATACTTGGCCATTTTCTCAATGGCCTCGGAAGACCTCAGATCTATGCTGACATATTGATTTCTATAGCCGCCCATCTCAACAAGTGACATACTGGATCGCTCTAGCAGGAGTACTGCTGGATCCTGCCCTGTCAGCCTCAACTGCAACTCTATGTATGTTTAACTCTCACTGAAAGGAATGGAATTTGAAGAGTTACTTTCAAGGTTTCAGGGAGACTTAATCACAAGTGATGTTAATGTTTATTTTTTATTTTTTGGGTGCCTTTGAGTCAGTCTTGACTCCTGGTGGTTGCCTGGACAAGTCCCTGCAGTTTTCTTGGCAAGATGTCAGAAGTGGTTTGCCATAGCCTGTTTCCTATGGCTGAGAGAGAGTGACTGGCCCAAGGTCACTCAGCTGGCTTTGTGCCTAAGGTGGGACTAGAACTCACAGTCTCCCAGTTTGTAGCCTGGTGCCTTACCCACTATACCAATGTTAATCAGTGAGGCCTATTTATAAAAGTTAATTTTTATGGATCAGGCCTAACAGAAATATCACTAGCCCCTTTCCACTACAAATTCTATGCATCTGTATTGCATATATTTTCAGTGGCTTTTTCTTTTTCTTAATTCACTCAAGGCCTCTATCTGCATGGCTTAGCAATGCCACCAGGATATTCTTCCTCAGTCAGAATTGCAAATATATGACACAGTCCATCATTATCAACTTATTAAAACTAGAACATCAAAATACAGAAAGTAGATGCAAAATTCTAGTTCACTAGTTCTCTCTGGTCTGTCATTTAAGGAAATAAATCTCAATTGATTTCAGTGGACTTGGGCATGTCAAAATCATTTGTGCTCAAAACATTCTGAGTTTGAAGCAGTCATTTTTCATTTTCAGGCTCGGAACAAAACGTTCTCATGCTCCAGAGTTTCTGAGTTCAGGACAGAAGAGTTCATTTCATGTTGCTTTGGGCATTATGAGGTCCCATAACATTTATTATTATTATTATGGTTGGTCGCATAGTCAGCCAGATGTTTAGACTGAGTTTGGCATTTTTATCCACCTATCGAGTCCTTCCCAAGGACCTGGCATAGACAGATGTTGTTTGATATTATTATTAAGGTATAATATTAATAATAAGATATTATTATTATTATTAGCCATAGAAACTTGTAAAACATATTAGTCAACAAAACAGCAGGCACAGTTCTCTCCCTGCAATTTTTGACTGAGGCAGATGAGGTGAGGGAGAATTAGTTACACATTTTCAGAGACTGAGAACTGTTTGAACATAAAAGGTGGCTTGTATTGAACTGGTCTGTTATTGTTGTCTACAAGACTGACAGCGCTCTCCAAGATTCCAGATGTTGTTTTTTTAATCCTTACATGGAGATGAAGGCGACTGAAGTAGATATTTCCAGACTGACTTGCAGGCCTTTAGGGACAGGTGGGGCAGAATGAGTAGAGCCAGCTATAGTAATGCCATCAACATTCTACCCATTAGCTACATGCAAGGAGAATGGCCTAGAAAAAGTACCATAGTGGGAAGTAATCTTTTTTATTTATCCACTAATGGGACTGTGCCCAATAGACTCTGTCAATCCATCTAAAACAATACTATAAGAGCGACCTTTTTAGATCAGAAGATCTATTTAATCAAGCATTTTCTTCCCCAAATCAGCCAAGTAGACACCTATCCCTTCTAAACACGCATGCATACACACAGAGGTAGGGGATAATAAAATAATTTTTCTTCTCCTTTAGTTTCATTTTCTAGTAGATCTATTCCCTATTGGAGTTATGCTGTCTAATGGCCAACAGTCCTTGATTTTTTTCCAGTTCTTGTAAACACTGTGAAGTGATTCAGATGGTTCTGAAGGCTGATGCTACATTTCTACTACTAAACTGATGCAGATTGATGACCCCTTGGAATTATAACATGAACTCCGTCAAGAAAAGCAGGCACAACAAATCCTCAACTTGCATGGACTGAGATGTCTGTAGGCAATTGGCATAAACTCTAAATGGATCTGTAAACGGATTCTTGAAATTTTGCTAAGGCAAAACTGAGCAACAAACCAACTACCAAACTGAGTGCAGGCTATTCCTAATTAACAGTGAACAGTAATCTGTTCTGGGGTTAAGTCAAAACTTCTGTTTGCTGTCTGCTTTGAACTACAAAATAACAGCAAGTATGGTTTGTCAGACAGAATTGGGGTTGACATTCAGCTGGTCTCCTTTCAGCCTGATAGGTCAAAACGATGTAATAGATGAAGACTTCATCAAGAGCTTTAAAAATGGATTCAATCCATATTCACCCAGTGAAACCAAACCAGATTAGCATTTTTTGTTTGTTTTGTTTTCTCTTTGAGAACTTTAGCTTCTGCTACAAGCCAACACTAGCTTCTTTTAATCGCTGCTACATTTAAAGATGGATATTTTATCAGTGTTATCCATTCACTTACAGCTTGATGCTATTAACTGCAAAGAACTTTCCAATGCAGACATTTATTCCTGCTCCCCATGGCATATTGTAATACTTGAGTTTTTCTCCTCCTTTATAGAAGTCTGTTTTTTCTGTGCCATCTGAATTGAGAAACCGGTCATATATGAATTTCTGAAAAATAAGTTCAGACAAACATTCCTGTGAGTTTGAACCAACCAATATTTAAATTGTAACATCCTACATAGGATATTTAGTTCTATAAAATTCCATTCGGATGTTTATTTTTATTTATTTATATGTCACATTTATATAGCTGCCCATCTCACACAAAGTAACTTTATTGTAGCAAAAACGGGGAAAAATCATTGTAATAATGATTAAAACAGACCCACTGAAATCAGTAGAATTTAGTCCTAATTAACTTATATCCCATTAATGTCAATGTGTCTATTTTAAGTATAGCTAGGCCTTGAAGCAACCAAAAATATTTAGTTTTCAAACCAAAAATGGCAAAAGACATGGAAGCAGTTACACAAGACAAAAGTCCGTATGACGTTTCCTTCTACAACTCCGTTAAAAAGAATGAAAGCTCAATTTATATAGGGAAGGAAATGAATCTCCAACATACTGGATCCTAATACTTTTATTCTAACAAAAGCAGAAGATATAATTGTAATTACTTTCAAATAATCTTTTCTACGGATACAACTCCACTCCAAAGTAAATCAGTTAATCATAAAGCCTTGCTGAATGTTGTAAGAATACAAT